ATTTATTGTACACTAACTCAGGTTAAAATAATGTTTTTAATGAAAAAATACTTTCTGAATCAAAAAAGTAACATTTTAGAAATTTCTGCAGCATTTCACAAATCTCTATTGTCTCATTTAGTAGAAGACAGTTGGATTCTCACATCTCTTACATTTAGTCTATTATGAAATGTCTGTGTTGAAGCATGTAAAGAAAATCCAGCCTTTAAATAGATGTACTGTTAAAAGGGGGAAGTATTTAATAATCTTCAAATATTTTCAGATACTCTTGTTTAATAACTACATCAAAACACAGCGTGTGGCAGCGTCTCAAAGATTAGTTGCAATGTACAATTTGAAACCAGATCCATGAACCTTTTGTACTGCTACATTAAAATTTATTGGTAGCATCATGTTAGTCATTCAAGACATAGGTTCACTGAGTTACCCAGATTTTCTAAATTGTGACACATTTTTTCTTACAATGTCATCACATCATATTCATTAATATGAACACTGATATCATCAGAACATCTACAGCTACTGGTAAGTCCGGCAAGTTCTCACTGAGAGGTACTGGTTTATCAAAATTTTACTTGTTGCTTAAGACTGTAGAGTTCAGATTTTATCGTTGGCAACAAATACTGTCAGTTGTTTTCCTTGACATAACAGACTTTCTTTATTTTTGAAAAATTTGTGTTCCAAATGCCCGGTCTGGAACAGTGATAGTTCATATGCCAGTTGACTTTTCAAGTGAAACCTAGTGTCCAATGAAAAATATCTCAGCTCATGGCCTAGTTGAGGTGCTTTTCTCAGCATAACTAACGTACAGCAATAGCAACTATGATGGTTCATTCATATTTCTCCATTTAGAATAGAAAATTACAAAAACATGTTTTTAAGGCATGAGCTTTAGTAACTTTTTTTTTTTTGGCGGAACCGGGGATTGAACTCAGGCCCTTGCGCTTGCCAGGGAAGTGCTTATTCCACTGAGCCATCTCCCCGGCCCTTAGTAACTTATTTATAATGGAATTTTACTACTTCCATCAAAGATATTCTAGATGAAGTTACTTATGGCTTTTCCTCTGAGTGCATGGCCTTGAAGAATCTATTGTCTGTTGGGACCGTTTGGCATTAGTTTACTTTTGCTTTTATGCTGATCTGCTGATATGTTTATCTTCCACTGCTCATCTGTCATCAGTGCAGATAGCACAGTGACAAAGGACAAATCGCTTATCCATGACCCACCTACAACCACATTGATGATCAGTGGGATACGTGTGCTGCATTTTGGGAAACACCATTCTGACAAGGACGTCTTCTGCCTTTTTTCCCACTTCCATTCACTCTGTCTGCTGACTTCTACCCTTTTAGTCTCCTAAAGAAGCATTTGATCAAGGCATTTAATCTTCCTCAATCTTTCTACAGTGGATAATGTTTATAACTGGTGCACTTCTGTTTCATCTTCTTTCATGGTTTTCCTACTTGTATGCCCTTTGCACTTTTTTTTTTTTTTCTACAGTTTTATTGATAAACATATGGCAATGAGACAGTTTCAAATCAAATCGGAAGTACAGTTTCAACAAATAATACACTGCATATATTCTTCTTAGTGGTTAATTGCTGTA